AACGAATTTCATTAAGTAATATCCGTTTTACTCAATTATAGTTATACTTAATGGTTAAGTTTACCCACAAACACACACTCATACATCCATGCATCATCCTCAAATCATAAAATATCAAAAATATACATAAAGCATATTTATCAATCGTCATCATTGTCATTATGCAATTTGGTAACGATGTTGCGCACCTTCTTAATGACCTCTTTCATTTGCTCATATTTGCCTGTAGAATCAGGTAAGTTTTCAAAATTTATAACATCGCTAACGCCAACTTTGAAATTTTCACCAGCTGGTAACTTGTCGTATGGCGAAAATTGCAACACAGGTGTACCCATGTGTGATTCCTTAATGACATCACGTATCGTCGGCACATTTGTAGTGGGTGTTGTCGGCTCACTTTGACCTGTTGATTCCTCGTTGTTTGGCAGTTTTGTTATCTGGGCAGCTTCCTTTTCACTGATGCTGGTTTCAAGTAGAGCGAATGCCTCGTCGTTGCTAGCACTTTGTGTTGAGTCTTCAGCAGTTTCAACGTCACTTAGTCCTACTCCTAATTCGGCTAAAAGCTTTTGCTTGCGTGCTTCTAAATCATCTAAGGACGGCGAAATACTTCGTTCGCTTGAGTTCAGAGTATTATCAGCTGAATCTTCATCGGGTTCCTCTTCAGTTGGCGGCGGTGGAGGCGGCTTAACATTTGCTGGCTCCGGTGGTGGTGGTGGACGGGTAAATATAACATTTCCTTCCACAGCGACTTCATCGTCAATTTCCATGTCTGCTGTGTCTAATATACTACTCTTATTTTCCACTGCATTGGATGGTAAGGGTAAGCTTTTGAGCTTCTTGTGCTTATAGCCCTTTATAACATTGGTTCCTAATTGCTTTATGAACTCTTCTTTTAACTGATTTCGGCTCAATGGTGGCACATTATGATGCTTGTAATCCTTGAAAATGATGACTATATTCAAATCGTTTATTTTACCTATATTCAAATTTACTTACATCATAAAAGTTCGGGCCCGGATCTACGTTATAGCCGGGAAAGTCAACTATTTTGGAGATGTCATATTTTTGTTCATCACTTTCTTGGGAATTGTCTTCTTCCGGTGCCATTACTGTATCTCCCTGCAAAATAAACAAATTACATATTGCGAAATCCTCAAAGTCTAGCTACTAACATCAGAATTGAATAGTGATATGCCTGAGTGCACAAATTTTGCCTCTTCTAGCCAACCAGGAGGATAACCAAGTTTTCTCATGCGATAGAAAAAGAATGGCAGCTCGCCGCGCTTCAAGCCTAGTGCCGCTTGTAACTTATCACTTATCAGGCCAGGCCGTAAATGCCCAAATCTTTGTTCGATATCGATGTGATAACGTTCTTGTTTTCGCGCCAATTTTGCGCGATTGATTCTTGCATGATTTCTTGGTTTTGGACATTCGCGAATTGAGTGTCCACCCACACCACAATTGAAGCAAGCCACCGTACTGCGAACTCTAGGACATTCATTCTCTTCCTCCTCCAGTTTACGTCGTTTACACGCTGAAGATTCCTCATTTAAAACATCCTTTATTCTACGCTTGTATGACGGCACACTTTGGGTTTCTAGTTTGTTCGAACCCGAAGTATCAATTGTGAAGAGTGAACCCAAATCTAAATCTGGTGATTCTTCACGTTCGCCCGGTTTTGGTTCGATCTCTGGTAGAACCTGAGGTTCTACAACTGCTTCCTCGCAATCGCTTAACTCTACAACGGAGATATTGTGCTCATTTTTTTTAACAATGTACGCTTGTATGGAAGGGCTTGCACTGCTTTCTGCATTTTCGGCAGCATTCAAAATGCTAAACTCAAACACCGATTTGGGTTCAACTTCGTCAGTGCAAACATTTAGCGCTTTATCTAGCGAGTCCAAAATACTATGCCCATATTCTTTAAACACACATAGGCTAGAAAATTTGATTTCAAATGCTAATTTTTGATTATTGTTTGGAGGTTCAGATATTTCCGCAGCTTCCAGTGCTTCCTCTACTTCACCTTCCTCGATATCTTCGTCAGCATTTGCGACTATATCCGCGCCAGTAGCCGGCAACTTTATGTCAGCGATTTCAATGATGCTACCATCAGATGTCAAGTCAACTGTGGAATTATTTCCAATATTTTCGTCGAGGTCCTCATTATCACTGTCTAATTTAATAACATCGGCACTTGCATCCATTGTCAAACAAAAAAACCACAAATTCGGTGCAGAAGGCGATTTTTTTAGACAATTTAATAAAATTATGAGAACGAAGTGGAAACAGCACAAAGAATGGTGTTACAAATATACGCGATTACAAATTATTTGATGCGCAAATCATAAGTCGCTTTTCACAACCGTTTCGGTAGTATTGGTAAACTGCTACTTGGCTTTGGTCAACCATAACTTAAGGTTTACACCGGACAATATTGTCAAGATAATTATGTCAAAATTATGTGTTTGTTGAAATATGAATTCGCCGTCCTTACAACAAACACATCATTTTCACATAATTGTCTTGACAATATTGTCCGGTGTAAACCCTAAGCTACTACTAGCAATGGGGAACAGCGCAATTTTTATGGCGTTAGCTCAATAACGCCGGCGTTACCTGTGGTGTCAGCGCACTAACTCAACGCAATAGCGCAGTGTACCGATTTGAACACGGCGCCATCTGAGTGTCACCACAGTACCCATCGTCATACAGTGTTATTCATACACAATACAGTGGTGTCATGTCCATTATTTCTGTAATTTTCGGCGCTTGTAACGCCAACCGAATTTAAAAAAAAAGAGTAAAAGCTTTAAATTTGCCAAGGTACATAAGTTTAAGGCGAATTGTGTGTGTGTCTAATGTGCTTCTTGGTGTTAATGGCGCTAGCGCGTTTCATATATTGGTGTTGGCAATGATCCACCTACACAAGATCTGACAAGATGAAGTAAAAGAAAAAAGTAATTTTCTGGCTGACTTTTGTAATTTCGGCGACATGTTATTTTCTTTGAAAAGTAAACAAAGAATATGAAGACGAAGCATAAAGAAAAAAATGCAAGCAATTTTGTAGCACAAGTTTGTGCTAACCAATTTACTATTTCTGTAAGTGTTTTTGCAACCAATCACCGCGCACTTCATTTTAATTACATTTCCACAAAAAATGTATTGAAAATCGCTTAAAAATCACTGAAATAAACCACCGGCAAAATACACATGAAGAAAGAAACAAAACAGAAATAGCAAACTTCAAAATTACGAGCGCCACACACTTTTTTCTCAATTGCTATCACAAATGGCTGCTTCTCAACCGGTCAGATCTGTTCTAATTGGTTCATGGGTGTTGGCGTGGCAACTCGGGCTATGGTGTTAACGCAATTACACCGCGCAGCGCAGTGTTACCCATGCCTACTTACTACTCCCACACTATAATTTATTGATTTTATTTATTTATTTATTACAGTCATTTGACTTATATACATTCACGCATGATAAAAACATTTAAAGGTACAATCACTCGCTCTATTCGTCCGCCATGGAGTTTGTTTTGACGTTTGCTAGCATTTTGGTTAAACTCTCTCGAAATGATACAAATGTCAAAAAAATTCAAAATTATCAAATGAAATTTTATGATTTGAAATTTTTATACCCGTGCGCACTTGTGCGCAAGGGTATATTAATTTTGTTCACATAACGGTTGTTTGTAACAGCCAAAACGATCGAGATAGATATAGACAAATGTATACATAAATGCTCAGAATGAATAGAGAAATCGATTAAGCCATGTCTGTCTGTCCGTCCGTCTGTCCGTCCGTCCGTGTACACGATAACTCGAGCAACAATTGATATATCTCAAAGAAATTTCGTATTAGAAAAATAAGAATATTATAAAGTGTTGGAAAATGGACTTATGGTTACATGTGTATATCTTGGTAACCGCTGCACCAATTTCTTCCAAACATGGCACAATTGTTGGCCTTAATACAGCATACTAACTGGCCGAAAATTAAAAAATTCGGACGATAACCACGCCCACTTGCCATATAACGGTAATTTTCGGAAATACGAAAA